TAGTGGCTGTCTCTAGACTGGCAAGTTTTTCCGCAAAATCATCTGCTTTTGTGGAAAAACTTGCCAGCTGTCTACATTGGCCACTTGAATTTCCACAAGAACACTGACGATCTCATGTAAGAAATCAGTGCTTCTTGCAGAAATACTATGCTGCTCCCATTCGTGCAAAAGTCCATTTGCGCAAAAGCTTTTGTGCAAAGGGACAGCTCAGATTTGTTTTGCGCAAAAAAGCCCCGATCGCGAAAATGGCGATCGGGGCTTTTTTTGTGCAAGAGCGCGTCTATATTGGCACGGACGCTTTCCGCAAAAAATGCTTTTCCGTTAAAAGCATTTGCGGAAAATCATGCAGTCTAGATGTAGTCAGTGGATTTTTGTTCATGAAAATTTATGCTCAAATATTCTTTAAAGTACCATCGGTCCTCAGATGGCACTATTAAATTTGCATAGCACTACAGAAAGTTGTGGCCACACGTATATTAATCTGTTTACTGTGACGCAATGTGCACATTGAATTGTAAGCATGGAACACAGTCACAGTTTTGCTTTTGCTTTTATTACAATGGATTGCTGGCTTTCTCGTGCAACAGAAAAAAAAAGCCCAACTCAAGTGAAAAACAAATAAGCTAAAATTGATTCAAGTGAAGTACTGCTACCACTTATACTGGTATAAGTACTTGTGTGGCAGAAGTGGGGGTAAAGCGTTGAATCAACTACTATAGACACAAAAAACGGGGTATAATTAAATAAGTTTAAGAACAAGTGATCTTGTATGAGAGGTTTGTACTGGAACTTTTTTAAAAAAATTGCATGACACAACACAACACAACACACTAAAATCTTCATCCAATGGATAATATACAAGGAATACTAAAAACAGTCAGGAGTGGAAAAGCTATCTGATAAAGGGATTCTTTATCTACCTAATGCCTTATTCCCAAATAATCTATTCCTTTTTTTTACTTATAGATTTAAAAAATCCCTGTACACTAGATATAAAACCTGAAAAAAATCTATTAGAATTGTCTAATTCAAACTATTCCACAGTGGCTCTGTTCTGCACTAATTTTATGATTTATAAAATTGGTCTTTAGTACTTTCAACTCAAATTATTCTGCTGCTGGGAAGACTCTTGTTATAGCATTTCGTCAGTGAAGATTAGCTAACCTTTTTAAAAATTAAATTGGTTTGCTGAGCAATGCCAAATGAAATTTCACATTGACAATTTTGCAGTTTTCATAATTATTTTTTTAATTTCAAATGTATTAAAACAGTAGAACAAAATAATCCTCTACTTTTGTCTGATTTTTGAGCCCGATAATTACATTTAAATGTACCATTAGTTGTAAATTCTGTCTCCAATGTACCCAAATAAGATATTTCCTATGAAATCATACAAGGCCTCTTGGCAGAATCATTGTTTTGCATGTGTGATACAGACTGTGGTTTTATAACTTGGTGACCTTTTCAGTAAAAAGTCAGTTTGGGGACTGTTAAATCTCATTTGGCTTAATAAATGGTAATACAGTAAAACTCCAATAGTCAGACATCCAATAGTCCGGCACTCCGGAAAGTACGGCATCAAAATGGCAAGAGCCTAGTGAATGAGCTTCGGTAAAAAACGAGTCAGAAGGCAGCAGTGGCAGCAGCTGAACTGAGCGAAAAGGGTAAAAAAGGGTTAAAAAAACTAAAACGTTACAGTATACTCTACAGTAAAAAGGGTTAAAACATTTTCTATACAGTATATACTGTATACTGTATATATATAACCAGCTTATAGTACCTCCTGATAGTCCAGCATATCCGATAATCCAGCACCGCCTAGGTCCCAAAGATTCCAGATTATCGGAAGTCTACTGTAGAAGGCATGGAGATTACTATATAATGTCAGTTCCCCCCCCCGCCCCTTGTGTATTTTGTTTTAATATTGTAATGGATAATTCAGTTGGGAAAAACTCAGCTAAAAAAGGCATATATTGAGCAGAAGCTGTGTAAGCTTCCCACACAGAACTCTGCCAGTATTCAGACTGTTGAAATTTATTTTGTGGAGAGGTCAAATTTCACTCTTAATCATTGGCCAATAGATGGGGGTTAGAACAATATTCTATTTTAGGCACAGTAAGTAGTTCACCCACTGGTGCTACTGAGAGCTTTGTACCAAGATCAAGATTAGGATATAGCCTGTACATAGTAATTAAAAGTTATTTGTTCAGTACCTTATTGCTATATTAGGCATGACTCAAAGGGAAACATACTCACTATTAGGACCAGGCCACTATTTTTTCCCTTGGGCTACGTCTACAATGGCAAGATTTTGCGCAAGTACGTTTAACGCAAGAGTTTTTGTGTTAAAGTATTTGCGCATGAGAGCGTCTACACTGGCATGTTCTTTTGTGCAAGAGATGTGCTTTTGCGCAAAAGCATCCGTGCCGTGTAGACGCTTTCTTGCACAAGAAAGCTCCAATGGCCATTTTAGCCATCGGGCTTTCTTGCGCAAGAAATTAACGTTGCCTGTCTACACTGGCCTTTTGTGCAAGAACAGTTGTGCAAGAGGGCTTATCCCTGAGCGGGAGCGTCATAATATTTGCGCAAGAAGCACTGATTTTATACATTAGAACATCAGTGTTCTTGCACATGTACTCGCAGCCAGTGTAGACAGGTGGCAAGATTTTGTGCAAAAGTGGCTGCTTTTGCGCAAAATCTTGCCAATGTAGTCACAGCCTACGTGTTTCTTCCTTTCCTATCCTTTCTGTTTGTCCCCCTTCTCTGTTCATTTCTCTTCCTTGCTTCCCTCTGCTCCTTTCCCCCTGCAGCATATTCTGCCTCTTGTGAGCTGCTCTCCTACCCCACTCCATCTTCTAAAATGATCAGCAAGAAAATACTTCTGAGAGTCTTTATTAGGCTTTAAAGTTAGCACCTAAATGAGCTGAATGGAGAATGAGAAAATTCACACCTGATGCCATTGTGGGTTGTTTACAGGATTGGGGAAAATAATACTACATTGGTTAGTATAGTATAGTATAGTATAGTATAGTACATTGGTCTGAATTATATTTATTTGGAAGAAATTTTTTTTTTAGAAGAATAACCCAATGGATGCTGCATCTGTAAATGTTCTTCATATCTCTGCAGCTGAGACCAAAATCCTGCGTTGGGCTCTACTCCTGGTCTGGCAGTCTTCACAGTCTAGAAAAAGTGACAGACATTGAAAGTATGATATAAATTGTGCAGGAAATCAGACAAAATAATTTTTCACTCCATGACATCTGAGAAAGTTGATTCTTATATTTCTCTGTGGGAGTCAATATGAAATGGCTTTGTTTTGCGTATTTTGCATATACCAAAGAATACATTATATTGTTTTTGAGTAATATGAATGTTTGTATCTGGGGAAGTGAGGCTTAGTCCAGTTCCTAGTGAAGTGGAAGCCATTGTCATTAAGACAATGATCTTAATTAGGTAGGTCTTATGACAGTTTACCCCTCCCCCCATGCTTTATGAAATAGATTTATGGGTACAAATGTACATAACTCAAAGGTGTTTTGAGCAAATTTCTTCATGTAAGCTATCAATTTTCATGTCTTAATCCATTGGATCTGTTCATCTTATTTTGGTCTGTGTATTGTTCTTGTGTATAAAATTAGACATATGGTGTGTGGAATGTGTTACAGTTTTTAAATGTGTGAACGAAAGGTATTAAGGGTGTTCCCCTCAATGTCTTGATGACCAGCTATTGAACAATCTATTTTGTCCTTTAAGTCTTAGCATTGGTTGGTCTGGGGAAGTCACATGTCCTCCCCACCTGGCTAGGTGACTTCCCATACAAGGAGGGAATCTTTAAAAGCAATAGGAAGGTAGGAAGGTAGGTCTTTGGGCTGTCTTGACACACCTGAGGAGGATGAACTAAAGACCTCAGGGTGAGGGACAGCCCTGGTTTGGAAGGCTTTGCTGGAAAAGAAAGAGTTTTAGGGTGAGTTTATAATTAGTTTGTGCTGAGGATTTTAGTGTCAGAAGTAGCTAAGTGTTTCTTGTTGTTTTTTTATTTGTAATCTACTTTGTTCTGCCTGTTCTCACTTATTACCACTGAAATCCTACTGCTTGTATCTAAAAAAATCACTTAAATTTTCTATCAAGCCCAACTGTTACCTGGGGGGGGGACGGGACCAGTGTGTACATTTTCCCTTTCATTACTAAAGGGGACTTACCCAAGTATTTCATTGGGGGGTTTTGATCCCATTTGGGGAGTGGTATCCCGGGAAGCTGGGCCCTAAACTCCCCTTTCCTTGGACCTGAAGAGATTCAGTGTCTGTACTGCTTCTCAGGGGGACATTGATCTTGGGGCCTTGGCTGTGGGAGACCAAGGAGCTGGCCCAGCAGGACAGAGTGGTGAGAAGCCCCAGAGAGTGGGAAGGCGAGTGATAGTGGCCATGTCAGCACTCTAGGAAGGCCCCTCTCCCTCTGCCCTGCAACGGGTCTTCTGTGACCTCCCCCTGTCACAGATCTAATAGGAAGGCCAAGGGTGAAAGGACATAGAGAGATTGAGTCCAACTTGGTGGACACTCAAAATCAAGGTTGCAGCATTACTAGTAGGGCATTATTGTTGTCCAAAGTACTGCTTATCAGGAACAATAAATACTGTCTCTGTCCAATGTTTGGCTAGTACACAGATAACATTGCTATGAAGGAGAACAGGATTAACAATGTCTAATAATTTCTGCACAGATTTGCTTGATTTTTTTTTCACTGAGTGGCTTTGTCATCACTTCGTTTTATGTTCCTTTGCACTGGATTTGCAAGTGCCATCAGGAATGTGCACAGAAACAGCTTTCTTTCTGTGACTGTTCTGCTGTGTTTTCTTAAAGAACATTTGACTTGGTAATTGTATTTGTTCCAGACACCTAATTTTAAAAGCTTTTCTTATCTAGTCAGGAACCAGAAAGTAGGCATGGGTTTATATCCAATCATAACAGCTCAAACTTGGAATACTGAAAATTCTTAAACTGCTTACAAGCCACAGTCCACTAATGTTCCCATACTTTCAAAATAAATAAATTTGAAAATGTTGACAATTTGTGAAGAAATTGGAAAAGTTAATAAAATGGACTAAGGCACTAAAATGAAACTATAAAACGACATCAGATTTTGTCATTTTTATCAATAGTGACAATCATATTTTTCTAAGTTCTGCAAAAGAATACTTTTTATCTCCAGATGCTTTAAAAAAAAGGAATAAATCATATTTTTCTAAGTTCTGCAAAAGAATTTAAATACTTTTTATCTCCAGATGCTTAAAAAAAAAAGGAATGCTGTCACCTATACTGTCTGTTGCTTGCGGTCTTAGGTATTGGGTCATTATTCATAAAATGGTTTGAAATGAATTATTAAATATGAGAGGTATAAGTATAACTTTCGAGCACGAGTACAGTACCTCAAAGGCATCCTGAAGAGTGAGATTTTGGTGTCTCATCAGATAGGCCATGCAGATCGCTGCAGATCTGCTGCGACCATTTTTACAATAAACTAAGCATTTTCCACCACTCCGTGCTGTGTCCTCGATGGCGTTGCTGCACTGTTCAAAATATTTATACAAGTCCTCCACTGGGTCATCAAAAACAGGAATTCGCAGGCTTCGGACTTGATGAAGGCCCGGGAATGGCTGCTGCCTGGAGACATTAATACAGAATGTAACTCCCTCTTGAGTGAGGAGTTCCTTGTTGCAGGCTGACTTAGAATTACTGATCAGCAAAGAGTCGGTGACCTTACAGAGCTGTAACATTGGCAACAAAGGGTTGGATGCTTTTACAGGCTGCTTTCTATGAGACGCATTAAGGCCTGTGGCAGAACACAAAATGATACTTAAATCTTGGTTACATGAAAGTGCAGTTTATTTCCAGCAGCACTTTGCTTGTTTCTGCTGTTCTGTTCCTGAGCTGTCTGTGCTGTGCTATATATATTCTACATATACTGTACCAGAACTAAAGGATTCCTTCGGGTCCTAGTGCCCTCTATGGTTTGATAGAAACATCTGAGAAGGTAAAACACAAGTCAGAGCCCACAGAGCAATCATAGAACAGATTAGAAATTCGAATAGCACTTGTTTCTGCAACAATTTTGTACTTTTCAACACAAAAATTAATGAAACTGCTCCATCATTACTGCTTATTTGGAAAGCAATATTACTGTAACACACGACATATTGATCAAGTAGGAATAAAATGAATTAAAAGCAAATAGAATATGCTAGCAGATGAAGCCTGTCATTGACCAGGCAAAGTCATTTTGCATAGATTACACTTATAGGAAAGTTCAAGAAATTAAATATATGTAATAGAATTTTTTATTAATGTGCTTGCAGAAGGGAAGTAAAAGAACGGTTTTAAATTTGTAGGATTTCAACTTCAAACATTATTCATTTTATTGAATATTTACCATATAAATTTGAAACAGAAACTTGTAAAGTTACCATTACTCTTTCCGTAACTTCTTTGAATTATTTTGTTATTTGTAACAATAACAATTTTCTTTGCACTAAAATGTCAGTTGAATAGGTGACTCGATTTTAATTTTGTTAGCTAATATTTTTATGAACTCTAATCATAATGAAAAACAAAAATAATTATTTACATCTTTCATCCAGCATATTCCAGTATAAAAAGTAGTGCATTCAGCTAATTTAAGTGGCAGGATTGTGTATACAAAATTTGATATTTGCAGGTAATCGTGAAGTAAGACTTACTTTGCACAAACAAATCCACGAACAGACTCTTCAAAATATATCATAGATTGCACCAAGTCTAGAGCAGTGGATTGTTTTTAGGAGCTTGGAGCATTTTCCAATATGTTAATAGAAAATGACACACCCATTGCTGGGTCAGTGGGAATATCCTTACTGACTCTGGCTATTAGACCACTCTGCCCTGTCGTGAAGGGCTGCTGCGTTGATGTTGGCTACTGGGCCCCAGTGAGGGATAGCTACACTGATGATGGCTATTGGGCCACACTGCCCTGAAGCATTGGGGCAAGTTCCTTCACCCCAGGCCTTGGACTGAGGGGGTTGTGAGGCTTGGAGGCTGCTCTATAGAGTTAACCAAGGGGGTTTCTGCACCTACCTAGCCAAGCCCATATGGGATGGGGGTGGTTTCTTATATTGCAACGGGTGGTATGACTTGGCTTACCTGCACCACAGAATCTAGGGCAGTGCCAGTCAGAGGGGCATCAACTGATACACTGTGGATCTAGTCAGGTAATGTTTCTTGGAACAAAGCAGAACATTGGCCAGTCATAACAACGTTTGTATCCCACACTGGAAGTGTCTGACCCAAAGGTTACATGCTATTTGCCTTCTCCAGCCCTTGAAACCTTGGCTTAACCTTGGCCTCAGCTTTACTTTGCTATTTCAAGTTTCTTCATCCTAGAGGAACCCAATGCTAGCAATGTACTTTTCAGTACATCACAATGACACAATCAGGTACCATGCCTCTTGGAACAACATGCGTTATCTGGGACCTTTCAGACTCCATCACCCTTCCCTACTAGAATTTGAGGATGAGAGACATTTATTCCTTTATGATGTAACCTCCCATGATAGGTTCTATCATAACAATAGACTGAGACCTGTGCCCATTAGTACTGCTAGTATCATAGGAAGGATCCATGTTTCATCAAGCTCGCGTCTTCTCTCAGCATAATAGATCCATTAGTAGTGCCTAGTAACTCTGCACAGATTTACTGCTTTTATTTTTGTTCATTGTTTTATCATCTTATTTGTTATTAACCTAAGCACCTTCCCCTCCTGAATTTCCTGTAATCCTGCCTATAGGTCCTGTATAAGGATGTTGCTAATTCATACATTAGGATGGTTGATGATTTTCCCCATATCAATTCTTGCTACTAGTGCTTCCACTTTTCTAAGCAGCTGTCCCGTTATCCTAGCATCTTGAACATCCTTTAATCCTCCAGTATATCCTCCAGTATATCCAGCATGCTGTTTGTTTTATTTTGTTACAAGGTATTGTATTTGAAATCTCATTTTGTGATACCCATATGATTCATTGTTGAAATTCTTAATGCCCCAACTCTTAATACTATTCTTGTATCTTTTATCTTTCTTCACTGACTCTTTTCTTCTAAGGCCATCAAATTTCCTCTAATTTCCCAGTCATTTTCTGAAATTTTGCACCCCTTTTGCTATCACTTGCATTTAAAAGTGCATAACATTTTAATTACAGAGCTGCTGTGGTAATATAAAATTGGTTATACAGGTATCATTTGATACTGTACATTGTTATACACAGTATGATTTTCACGATTTGTCAGTCTGTTGTCAGGTCCTGCTTCTGTTTCTGGACATGGTTCAGCATCTTGCTTCAATTCCAGAACAGGAGGCACCACTGGTCTAGTATATGTTCAGTAGTGGTAGTGCTCCTCTGCCAGTCCTTAAATCACGTTCAGAGAGATCAAAGTCTCAGTCATTTTCCCAGCATGAGCAGTACTTTGATGTTCTAAAAGCAGTTCACCAACTTGGAACAATTTCATATTTCTTACATTTGAACTGGCTCCCAACCCCAGATCCTCTGTTTAAAAAAATCTTTTCCACCCATAAGCTTTTTTGCACAATTAAGACTGAAGAACCCAATTTACGTGTCTTATTCTACCAAGAATACTCCCCATCTTGAGTAGACATACTCTTGTAATTTCAGCAGGCTTTAACCTAAATTAATTGGTGGGAGTGTTTAT